AGACTTTGTGTTCACCACACACCCTCAGTGTTCACATCACATTAAAAATCAGACAGACAAACCTGGCTCTCCCGTGAGGAGAGACTCTGCTCCCACTGCAGTCTGGGAGAAATCGAAACAGAGCTGCACTTCCTCACAGAATGCCCCAAATACCAAACCATTAGAGACCACTATTACCCCAAAAGTAATCAAATATTTCCCCAATTTAATAATTGCACCCCAACTGAAAAACTCACCTTCATTCTTGGTGAAAAATCTGAGTGTGCAAATATAGCTGCAAGATTTATAGCAGCCTGCCAACTCCTGAGGCACAGCCACAGCCAAGAAACTAATATCCAGTAAATATACGGCTAACTCACACCAAACCAACCAATACATGACTGTAGATAACATTGAATCCAGTTATTCAGTTTATTAGTTAAATAAATACAGAAATGATCTTGTTATATAACCTTTACTATATCATATATACACTCTTAAAAATAAAGGTGCTTCAAAAGGTTCTTCAAGCGATGCCATAGAAGAACCATTTTTGGTTCCACAAAGAACCATTCAGTCAAAGGTTCTTTAAAGAACCATCTCTTTCTTACCTTTTTGTAATCTGAAGAACCTTCTTTCACCACAAAGAACCTTTTGTGAAACAGAAAGGTTCTTCAGATGTTAAAGGTTCTTTATGGAACCATTTAGACAAAAAGGTTCTTCTATGGCATCGTGAAGCACCTTTATTTTTAAGAGTGTATGTTAATATGTATCCATGTTTTTATGTCATTCTTTCAATAATACTTGTTCATATGTTATTTCAAGTGCTATATTGTTCCAAATTACACTGTTGTATATGTTCTCTTTTCCTATGCATTCTTTGGCAATGCAAAATGTGCTTTTGTCATGCCAATAAAGCTAATTGAACTGAGTGTGTGTGTGTGTGTGTGTGAGTGTGTGAGAATTTTGAATTTTAACAACACTTTATTTTGCCTTCTTCAAATGGCAATTAATACAGATATAAAAATTTATATAATAAAATTAATAACACACACATTAAACACAATTTTCAGAAAAAGACAACATTTCTCCATTAACAGTACACATTTTACCATTTAGGCTCCAAATCTCTTTAAAGCCTTCAACATCATCCATTAATCTATAATAATTAAATTCCAAATGTATTCTAGCTCTTATTATGCATTAAAAAAAAACAAGAACATCAATATTATTATTTTGTTCCATTTTCTTGTTGCATAAATTATTAATTTAGTTTGTCCCAACAGAAAATTTAAAATTTTACAAATATTCCTCTTATTTTTCTCAATTTTCACTCCAAAAATAAAACAAACATCAGAGAACATTTCTCCAAACAAATTGAACAATTCTTTCAAAAGAACCAATAAAGGCAACAATCGTTCACACCTAAGAAAACAATGAAAAATAGTTTCTCTACAATTACAAAATGGACAGGTATCAGTCATTTCAGAATTTATAATAGACACAAAAGCATTTACTGCTATAATACCGTGCAATATTCTCCACTGAATATCTCCAACCTTTTTGGTCAATGGTGGCTTATAAATTGCTTCCCATACTGGTGTTACCTCATCTTTTACATTCAGATATTTCCTCCATGGTGTATCAATCCTATTTTTTAATTTTCCTTTATTCAGCACCTTGACACAAAAAGAATACATACTTTTCCCTCCTACAGAATTAAAAACCGTAAAACGAA